TAATACCTTGTAATGTTATAGATATAAATATCTAGATGCAGATTTTTTTACCATTATATGGCATAGTCATTTATTACAATTTTCAACAAATTTTAAAATAGGCATACGCTGTAAAAAATAAGTGTTATAATAAATTTGCCGCCCTAGGTAGCTCCCTACAATGCCTAATGGAAAATACTAAATCCGTCTCTGGTTATATTATAATTAATCAAATTATATTTTAAATTACATAAGTAAATATAATAATAATTATGGTGTATTATTCATTGATTTTTGTAATAGATTTTGGATCATTTTAATAATTCAAATGAAAATAATGATGAAAACATTGATTGGTCTGATAGCATTTAATTTGTATTTTATTGTTCTATTATAATTATTAATTTTTAATTTTCTATTATTTTTAGAGCATGTATCGAAGACTAACGAAGAAATTAAAACATTAGAAGAGTCAACGAAAAATCAGTCTGAAAGCAAACTATGGAAAATAGAGAGAAGTATACGACTGACAGCCTCAAATTTTAGAAAGGTTTGTAAGCTACGAAAAATAACATAAATTAAAAATACTGTTAAAAGTATATTATATAATACATTTTCCGGTAATTTATCGACAAACTATGGCATCGAAAATGAACATATAGCAAGAATTGAATTCGAAAAAGTGATAAACTTAAAAATTTAACCAGCTGCTTTATTTGTTGATAAAACATATCATTTTTTGGCTGCAAGTCCTGACGGGCTAATCGAAGACGATGGTATCATAGAAATGTCCATACACCATTAAAGATCTCACACCTGAAGATGCTATCCAAAATAGAAAATTGAAATTTGTGACAGTCATCGATGGAAAATTAAATTTAAAAACAAATGATAATTACTATTATCAAATACAAGGACAACTACACATAACACAAAGAGCTTACTGTTATTTCGTCGTGTGGTCATCCAAAGGTATAGTTTTATAGGTATCCTGTCAAAATGTCATGGTAAAAATATCGTGGAATAACTTGCGATACCAAGTAAAATATTATTTTGTACTAAGTATTCTAAAGTAGCTAATAACTGCGTGAAAAATGTCCAGCTACAGTAGTTATTCATTTTTTATTTACAATTTACAACATAATTCTTACATTATTGCCGCCACATTTTGACGAGGATCCAGTGTTATAAATGTACATTGTACAATATTACTTGATTCACTAAATATTTCATATATCATTCTCATTTACGTTTTCAGGCATGCTGTACCAAAATACTGTACGAGATGACGTTTTTTTTCGAACTACGAATGCAGCAAACAGTTAATTTCATTTTACCATGGCCATTTGTTACTTGAAATATTAGATTCCCGTTTTAATCGTGGTTTACCCATCATTGATTAGTTGTTCGTATACCTAGTAATAATGTAATATATTTAATTAAAATAACGACTACAATATTATAATGTATTATTAAGTCTATGATAAAAAATAAATGATTTAGGTTGTAAAAAATTTTAAAATGTTTAAATACTACTTATTCCTATTTCTTATACTACATATTATTATTATTGTAATGTAATAAAACTAAATCCAAGTGGCAAGTATATAGACATAAATCATAATTAACCCTAATGTGCACGCCCAGAGATCGGAAGAAGCACAAATCCGAAGGACCACTCGACGAGTAGAGTCGAGACCAATATGTAATATGTAGTTGTTGATGGAACGGTTTAAAATATCACATTTTATCGACCCGACAATTAATTTTGCCTTGTAATAATTCAGGTAGGCAACCTAATACATACGACGACGAATTACCTCAGTATAGGAATGGGAGGTGAGGTATTGGCGGAAACAGGATGATACAGTTTAGTTATGGGGGGGGGGGAGTCTCTGCGGTCGCGGACAATTTCCAGCAACCAGTCGAATATTAATAGTTAATTAAGAATAACTCACGGATATGCTGGTAACGATGAATATATTTTATTGTTGAACATAAACCGTTGCGTTGTCCGTTACAATAACGGACTAACGGCGATCACATCGACGATTTAAAAAAAAATATAATAATAATTTTCGGATCACAATGATCCGACGATTTTCTGGTGACAAGAATACCAATAACAATAATAATAATAAACCACACAATTGTGGATATGTATCACCAAAAAAAGGTTTGTAATATAGATTATAGAAAAAAGTAGCAACAACACAAAAACTTTACGTGTATATAGTACGAGCGATATAATATAATGAGTGTGTGTGTAAAAAAGGGCGTTGGCCGCAATAATAAGATATCACGAAAATCAAAACAAAAACATTGATAATCACTAGGCCAACGACCGAGCAACAATTATCACACATAGACAAAACAAAGAACATATTATGGTAAATAACAATAATTACAATGAATCACTGTAGGAAGAGGAGAGGAGTGGAACGGACCGATAAGAAGAGTTGTGCCGTCGTGCTCATTACACAGACTTCTATACTACACTAGATAAGGAACTCCTATACAAGTTGCATTGTTACAAGTGAAGCTCAGCTGTGGAAGGCTGCCATTTTGTCGGTTGGCAAAACATTTCATTTATTGCACGAAATGGATTAGGAATAATATTTTTTTTATTGGTCAAATTAAATAGTAAATGTAAAATGACTTATATAAAATATTTTTTATTTTTTTTTAAACAGTATGATAGGAAATAATAAAATACGATACAAAATAAATCATAATATCATCTTGTTTGACATAATATGAAATACCATACAATTGCCAACCGACTTTGAAGCTTCAATTCATGGCGGGAGTTCGCTATCTAGTACTATATAGAAATCTGTGGCTCATTAGCATATTATCACATTTGATAATTTTCAGCGCCAACACCTAATATAAATTAATATCGGTAAATATTGTAATTATAAAATTATTAAAAATCCCAACGATGGTTTTACGATAAAGACAAGACAGCGACCGCTGTACCCAAATACGCCCTCAGTATCAACACCACCTGTTAGATTGCCCGGAAGGAGTGACCGCACTCACACTGATAATCATTTACGACTAACGCAAAGATTACGGGCGTCGGGCGACGAATGGATCTTCGCAGGAAAAAATTTTTTGTGTCCGTATATAATATTGCCTACATTTAGCCCCTTTTTTGCAGTTATCAAAATGTGACAACATTGATAAAACGATAACATAAGTTTCATTATAAATTATAATATTATATTTTATTATATTAATTATAATTAAAATAGTTAAATACATTAATAGTTAATAAGTTATTAAAAAACACAATATCGTAATTTAAAATTTAAAAATACACAATTCATTGAGAATACAGTATAAATGTACAACCTATTTACGTGGAACATTATTTTAAATTTTCAATCTTTAGCTATAAAAGGTAAATTATATAATACAATTTAAAATTTGATAAATATTTTCAAAATTCGAACTAGTACCCAGATAGCAATTGTGTAATGATATTATTATTATTATAGTTCACAAATATTGTTATAAAAATAATGTTATTATAATAACATAACTATCCAACTAACATGATATTTTTACATTATAAATTATAATTAAAATAGTTAAATACATTAATAGTTAATAAAATTAATAATACACAATTCAAAAAAAAACACAATATTCATTATTCACTTACGATCGTCATTTAAAAGATACAATTCAACAATATATTAAGAAATTCATTTTCTTTTAGCGCTATAAGAATGATCGTGATATGAATGAACATTTAAAACACTTGTATTATTTAGTAAGGATTTTCTTATTATATTACCTTCACTCGACGACAATTGAAGAAATTCAAGTTTATTTTTTTATTTTTAGTAAAGAAACGTGGTTGTTTTTCAATATTCTTTTTATGTTGATTGTATTTATATCTTCAGTATCTTCTGTTTGCATAGGTTTTGATTCGTTTGTAAGTAATTCAATAATTTTATTGCAATGTTTTAAAATATGTTTTTTTGTGTACTGTAATAATAATAATATCATTACACAATTGCTATCTGGGTATTAGTTCGAATTTCGAATTTCAAATTTCAAATTTTATTATATAATTTGACTTTTATAGCTAAAGATTGAAAATTTAAAACAATGTTCCACGTAAATAGATTGTACATTTATACTGTATTCTCAATGAATTGTGTATTTTTAAATTTTAAATTATGATATTGCGTTTTTTAATAACTTATTAACTATTAATGTATTTAACTATTTTAATTATAATTAATATAATAAAATATAATATTATAATTTATAATGAAAATTATGTTATCGATTTATCAATGTTATCACATTTTGATAACTGCAAAAAAGGGGCTAAATGTAGGCAATATTATATACGGACACAAAAAATTTTTTCCTGCGAAGATCCATTCGTGTCGGGCGGCGACGACAAGATTAGAAATTGCCTAAATTGTCCCCCTTAAAAAATAGCCGCTAAGAGCCGCCTTAATGTTGAAGCCATAGATATATACAACAACTAGATAGCCGTCATTATACTACAGTCGTGAATCGTGATCAATATTGAAATCGGCCGCCATTTACAAAGCAGGCAATGTTTACATATATTATATATTTATATATGTTACCGTCAATGTCGTAAATTCAGGTAATGATGATATTGACTAGCCAATTAATATAATGCCTGGGTAACTTGGTCGTTAACTATAATCAACATATATTTGTAACATTGACTTGATAAATCAGACGATGTTATAATTTGATAAATTCACTAGGTAGTTATTATAACATATCCTATCGTCGTGTAGTCAATGTTATCTTTTATCGTTTTAACTTTAAAAACCCACGTTAAGATTAGGTATCTGTTTTATAACGAATAATAATAGGTATCTTTTATAGTTTTAATACTCACGGCAACTAACCTAACATAAGTATTGTTACAGTCTACGTTGTACTTTCGTATAATATAGTTTATTGTTTCATATAGTTTTTCGTTTCGAAAAGTGTTGAATTGTATTATTAAAAAAATGAATTCAAATGAAATGCGTCAAAAATTTTACAACGCATTATCTGATTTATTGAAAAATAAACGTGAAGATAATAAATCATTTTTAAACAAAGAGGAATATATGTTAAGATTGCAAGAAGTTAAATTAGCTAAGGAAAAAATTGGGAAGAAAAGTGCAAAGGATTACAGATGCATTCGTAAGTATGATATAATAACACTCAATGGGCAAGAACGACTTATTAAATCTATAAGTAATAATTCAGAAAATGTGCACTATTATGTATCAAATGACGAATTATTTGATATTTTACACGATAGTCACATTGCAATAGGTCATGGTGGTCGGGACCGCATGGTTTATGAATTAAAGACAAAATATTGTAATATTACCAAGGAAACTATTATGATATATTTAAGTCTTTGTATGCATTGTGAAAAAAAATCATCGAATCCAAAGCGAGGCCTAGTTTCTAAACCCATACTTCATAATGCATTCAATTCACGAGCCCAAGTTGACCTTATCGATATGCAAATTCAAAGTTATAATGAATTTAAATTTATCATGAACTATCAAGACCATTTAACAAAATTCGTTCTACTTAGACCTTTAAAATCAAAACGTGCTGAAGAAATAGCATTTAATTTGATCGATATTTATACTACATTTGGTGCACCTGCAATACTCCACTCTGACAACGGAAGAGAATTTGTAAACACTATTATAACTGAGCTTAATATGATGTGGGGTGATATTAAAATAGTTCATGGCAAACCAAGGCACAGCCAAAGCCAAGGGTCGGTAAAACGAGCGAATCGCGATGTTGAAGACATTTTGGCAACATGGATGGTTGAAAATAATTCTAGAGATTGGCCATCGGGAATAAAATTTGTTCAATTCAGAAAAAATCGCGCGTTTCATTCAGGTTTGTGAATTATATTTATTAATAAAAAATTTATTAAAAAATTTGAATTTTATGTAATTTTAATGATAATTTAAAAAGTTGAGCATGAACTAGGTAGGTAAATAAAAAGTACATTTTTAATAAACTAACTTAACATTTTTAACTAATTAATTAATTAAATATTTTATATTATTATTATCGTTTTCACATTTTTTTAAACTTAACCACATTTATTATTTAAATAGGAATTGGCAGATCACCGTATGAGGCGATGTTTGGGTGTCCTGTAAGACTTGGTGTAGCGTCAGTTGGATTTCCACTCGATGAAACCACTAATTTAAACCAAGAAGAAGATATTGAAGAAATTGATAATGATATTAATATTAGACAAGAAGACGTTATTGAAAATAATCTTGATGAAGTTGAACTAACCAACAATGAGCATTTAAGTGAGTCAATCTGTGATTCAAATTAATTAATTATTCCAAAAAATAAATACAATGATTGATAATGTATTTTTATATTTTAGTCAATATCAGACAAGACGAAATATTGAATGAAAGAAAATTATCTGCAAAATGCTTGGAAAATCAGGCCAAAAAAATGATTAAAAAATCTAATAAAAAATTTGAAGATCTTGAAGTAGGGGTAAATGCTCGAGTTTCAATTCCCGATGTTGATCGAGCTAGAGGTTCACCACGAAATGTGTTGGCTGTCATCATTAGTATCGAAGATAACATGTATAAATTAGGTATGCAAATTTCAAATTAAATTTAAATTTAAAATAATAAAAATATATTTTAGGAACAGAAAACGGTATTCTCAAACATTTATACACAAGAACGGAAATTTTTCCTTGCAAAGAAAAATTTATTCTTCTCGAAAACGTCTTAAAATTATCTGCCGAAAAAGAAATTACACTCCGTGAAGCGGCTGGAGTCAACAGTGTTATGGGAACTCAAGGATTTCAACGGTGCCACTGCAAAACAAAATGCAAAACAAATAAATGTACTTGTAGATCTAATAACCGGCTTTGTACATCGAAGTGCCATTACAGCTTATCATGCGAGAATAAGTGATACCCATACGTCATACCTAATCAATAATCAACATACAAGTATTAAAATAATAATTATTATGAAAAAATTAATTTTTTCTTATATTTTTTTTTCATTGTTTATTCTTAAATAGTAAATATAATATATTATATCTAAAATTATCAATGGCTACATAGTTTTAGTCAATAATGACAATGACTGGTAAATCATAGAAATTATGTATTAATATTAAATTTGTTCTATTATTGTCTATCTTAGTTAGGTATTCTCTAAAATGACTAGCCAATAATATCAATGCCTATGTAAAACAGTCAGTGTTAACATAGACTAGTCATTTTTAACAATACCTAATTATCATCATTGGCGGTAACATATACATATATATTTATCTATACATATTATACACTATGATAATATTACTTTGTAAACGTTGCCTGCTTTGTAAATGGCGGCCGACTTCGATGACTATAAAAAAAATAGAAGGAGACGGCTGTCTAGTTGTTGAATATATCTATGGTTGAAGCACTTGAAGCTACTCGCGGCGTCGTGTCAACGTCGGGTACGCGCTCGCCGCACCAGACGACACTGCCGCGCGCCGGTAGGTTGGTCGCGCGATCCGTTTGTCGTCACGTGACAGCACTTTATCACCGGCGGAACGTCTCTCCGTGATAATATAATAACCATGATAATAACATATTATTTTCTAGCGTTCTCTAACACACTTGAGTGTGCGTCTCTTATTATTTTTATTTTCTCTTATTCGCGAGAAACGTTAATTTTTCACGCTATAATGTACACTACATGCCGACAGTGGACAGTCTTGTCGATGTAGTTAGTACCTACTACGAATGCTCGTGTTATCCTCCATTTTGCTCGTCTAGCCTTTCACAACGCCCCGTTCGACATCGACACCATCATTGTGCAATTAGTATTTACGTCGTATTCATTAAAGCCATTATAACTCCGCGTATGCGTTTTTTCATTGATTTGTCGTCGTGCAAGAACACCTACATTACCGGCCAACGGTCGCGACGAAACATCAGTCCAATTGGTCATTGTTCCATTTGGTAACGTGTATCTACCTAGCGATCATTTTTTAGATGAAAACTATAAGCCAGGGAAGAAGAGTCGAATTTTATTTCGAAATACCTACTATTCCACGACCTTTTGATAAAAAAAGCGATCAAAATGGTTTTTCCAGTATGTACCTAATGCTTCTTGGTCTCTACATTTTATTTTTTATTTTCAACCAAGTTTTTATTTTTATACAGTGATGTGCATGATATGAATTATTATGAATATTTGCCGAGACCCAAAGTTGAAAAGAGACAATTTCCTACAGTTATTGAAACAGATGTAAGACCAGTGTTAACAGCTATCAAGGTAATAATAATATAAAAGAGTTATGGCATGATGTCTTTTTAGTCCCTAAAATGTATTAAAAATATTTTTAAAGACACCACAGTAGCTTATTTATAAACTATTGTTGGAGTACAAAATTAACAAGTTGTAACTATTTCAAATAGCTACTTAACCTAACTAAGGTAAAAACCTACTTTTTAAAACTCAACATTTTTCCGCGTCACAACAGGTATACAAAAATATGATCTTCAGTGAACATGTTAAGCGTTTTAAGTTTAAATGTAGACACAATTTGTCTAAATCACAAATATTTGTAAATTCATTTCTCATAAGAAGTTCTTGCTATATCCCAAAAATCTATCAATAATTTAGTACAATTTTATTTATAATTATTTTATTTTTAAATATTGTCAAAATTATGTGCAACGTAAGTTATTTGTTGGCATTCAAAGATATTATTCTAGAGGAAAGACATTGTCTGAGATATAATGGTATTTTACTAACACAACAACAATTTCTAAATATTACTTAGATAATTTGACTATAACTAACGCCTACTATATTTAAGTCTACCGTATTACTTATAGTAAAATTAAATTACTTATTAGTTAGGTATTACTTATTAATATAAGATGTCAGACCATCTCCAATCAGAATCGCTTGTTGTATGATTTATCATTGAATATAAATTTAACTCATACAATTTTACTCAATGAAGTACACTCGACATCTACAGCAGATCAATTTCCCATTATTTTTAAATTTGTTTCAGTTTAATACAATTTGTCAAACTTCAAATGACTATGAAATGGAAAAAACAATTGTGTATATTATGTATTGTTATTTAGATTTAGATTACTAAAAGAACAACTTATGAGGAACATTGTTTTACATTTTCAAATTTTTTGACCAAATATAGCATTTGTTTTCAGTATTTATAAAAAAAAGTTGAAACCATATTTTTGTATCAGTGTTGGAAGTAGAATCATATACTATTGTAAACTTTATAATTAGTCTTAGTCCTTTTAGATTAAAGATTGGTAATTTCAGTATTACATTTTGATTATATATGTACCTATCCATAAATTAAATTTATTTTATTTTATTAATTTATTATTTTTGTTGTACAGAAGGATGCATATCTAACATAACTAATACTGATGAAGGGCCCTACCTTTTCACACCAAAAATAGTAATTATTATAATCATTCAAAAATATTGTTTTAAAATAATTTTAAATGTCCATTCATTGAATATTGTATTGCTTATAGGAGTGTGTGAATGAGTGGAGTTCAGAGTTAGGTTTTCAGTTAACTGTTAAGTCTCATATCTATGAAAGACACTTCAGACTGCAAGACTTAATTTGTGAAGAATTTTTGGTAGATGGTTTAATCGATGTAGTAAAATTATTAGTAAATCCTTCTTTGCCAATAGCAATTAATGCTGTGCCGTCAGCATCTAATACTAAAAATAATTTACCAGGTATGTAAAAAATTCTTAATAAAATAAATTTCAACTTGTGATTTAAATCCAACATTACAATCAAATACTTTAAATTAATTATCTTTCATATAGTACACATTAATGTTCTAAATCTAATACTGTTATGGCAATTGATGATTTTCCAAACATTGATTTAGATGTCAAACAAAAACTGAAGTTCAACTTTGCGAAAAACTTGTTGTCCATCACTGAGTAATCAACTTCAACATTAAAAATGCAAGATAACAAGTTACCAGGTATGTAAAATATTCTTGTTAAAATAAATTTCAACTTGTGATTTAAATCCAAAATTACAATCAAATACTGTAAATTAATAATCTTTCAGATAATAGAGATAAATGTTCTAAATCTATTACATCCATGGAAATTGACGATTTTCCAAACATTGATTCAGATGTCAAACAAAAACTGAAGAGGATTTTAGCTAAAAACTCGTTATCCATCACTATAGAATCAACTTCAACATCAAAAATGCAAGATAAATTGTCGTCTAATACGCATGATTCAAATACAGACTTTAGTACAAATACCTCACAATGTGAGAAAATAGATGATGGCAAGACTAAAGAATTTAGAGTGGAAGATAATGGTTTCATATATGAAATTTCTCATTCTGTTATACTTCCTAGTAAATTTTGGAAGTGTACGCATATTAGAAATCAAAATACTACAGCTTTTTTTGAAAATACTCAGAAAAAAATTTGTTTTTATAACAGCTTTTTGCCAGTTATAGAACTATATGGCAAGCTCATAAAATACTATACTCCCATTAAATCCAAGTTTCAATTACAAAATCTATTAAAGAAATTTGAATCTTTTGAAAAATGTTCGGGTGGGTATGGAAGTCAAAAATGTATAGGTTATTTTGATAGCAGTTCAGAAGGAACTAAAATGTGTTCTGCCTGTAAAGAAGAACTAATGAATCAAGATTCCAATACTATTAAATGCTTAGAAAGCAAAGTGAGTTTTCTGGATTATCCTAAGTAATAACAAAAGACACTCATTATTTCAAAAACCATGAAAACGTTGAAAATATTTTTTGTAGGTACATAATTTAAGTCGTGGAAAAAAATATCTTTCTACAAAAATTTATTAGGTATTTACTATTTTTTTATGATGAGAATATTTTTAATTATTATTTTTTTTAATAATAATGTAGGTACCTACTTTTTTGGTTCCATATTCTAAAGCAGAATATTTTTTGGAGAACTTAAATCAAGTTTTGTACTAGTATTTTTGAGTATTAAGTATTTGAATTTTTGATTTAATGAAGTGGTTTGGTACAGGGATACACCGTTAAATGTTGGGTCACTGCTCCACTCATCTAAGCATTAAATACTTAAAAGTTATAATTAACTAGCTACTGGTACTAGATTTAATTTAACTTAATATTCCATGACGTAATATTATGCTTTTTAATATGTAAGTAAAAATGTTTGTTTTAATTCATAAGAGTATATAATATTGTTTTGTAACGACATACTAATATGTTAGTGTTGCATTTTCAAATTAATTTGTTTTCTGAAAGAATGAGCTGCTTACGTGAAATGGATAACTCCGTATATTATTTTATTATAGTTTATATTTATATATATTATATATATTTTTTTATTTTATAGATCGCTAAAAGTGAATCCAGTTGTGATGAAGGTAAGAGCTAAAATGAAAAAAAAAAAAGGAAACACATTTAGAAAACTAGGCAAATTTGTTTCATTCATTACTAAACTGTTTTTAACTATAGTAAATGTACATTAAATTCTTATTCTTGTTCTAATTCAATTTATTTCTCACTGGAATGGTATATTTCCAGTTATATTTCCAATTAAAAAAATGCTCATTTCAAAATTAGTTGTATTATTATATAAAAATTTAAGTTGCTTCTTTTATTATTAAAATATACGACTTGATTATATAACACTCCAGAAAATTTGTTCCAACCACGGACTCATTGATATGCGTAGAAGTTGAATAGTTTGGCTTACTCATTCAATTTCAAGTAGGTAGGTAAATCACTTCGAAAATTCATAATAAATTAAGTGGATGTATGATCAAAGTAATAAACATTATAGTATATAGTACAAAATAAATAGTACCTTTAATAATAATTAATAAAGCCTATAAGTACGACATGTTTATAATATTATTCTAAATTAATA